GTGGACAAAGCCCATTTCTGTGAGGTACTTCATCCCGGACGCCACCCCGGTCAGCATATCCATCAGCTGCATCACACTCAGCTGGCCCTCGTGTTTCTGAGGAAATCGAAAAAAAGGAAGAAAACAAGAGGTGGAGAAAATCAGGTGAGGGGATACAGCGAGTCACATCTGTTGCCGCAGCACAATGTTGCGCTCGCTGAGCCGAATCCCTTTATTTGGAGGATAAAAACAAACAGGCCATTAATTCATATCATTATAAGGCGCGCCGCAGTGGTTCATAGAGCAGGGGGGCACAATAACAGTTTACAGAAAGCTTACAGCGTCTTTGAGCAGAAACACTCCATTTGTGCGGTTAATTATGCAACATTTTCCTTATTACTATAATTAGCACAAGTATCTGCGCCTCGGGACTGCACTACAATAATTTAGATTTATTAGAGCAAAATGTCTTGTTTGCTCAAAACGAGAAAGTGATGACGAAGCTTAATTTCAGTGATACTTTTTCCCCTGCTGGTAGTGATTACAGTACCTACACCTGAGAAAGACATTTTGCTAGCTTTGACTACATTACGATCTCTTCTCCAGGGGTGTGTCCAGAAAATAATCAGGGGTGGCACAGGCCCCGTCAGAAATCTGGTGGGCATGGAATCAACTGGTGCCACCCCGAACTCCTCAGTTAAAACTGGCTTTTTTATTCAATAGGACATTACTTATATTAAAAGCAACTACTTTTTCATACATGTTGCTTGAAATTGTGACTTTGCTCTGAAGATTGAACCCTGTTGTGTTTTTGAAGCTAAAAAAAGCTGTAAATAGGAATGTATTTAAAGCTTTGTCCCAATTCATGGGCTGAATCCTTTGGGGGCTGCATTTGGAGACCAATTGCTGTTACTGTTGCACATAAAAGAGTGTCCCATTTTGAAAGCTCCTACAAATGCATCCTTCTCGGCCCAACACATCCCATAATCCCTTCAGGCTAAGTAGTCTGTGCAGGCCACAAAAGATTTGTAATTGGGACATACAATGGCCTGTTTTATACCTTAAAGCTCCAGTGAGAAGTTTTTGGATGTTTAGAAATTCATACAGATACCCTTTCAATAATATACAGCGATAAAAATTATGGTTTTGTACTGTAATTTTTTTGCCAAATAGCCAAGACTTAACAGAATGATGTAAAGGTGAGAAAAGGCTTGGTCACTGTAGATTTATGTGTTTTTTGAGCAAAGTATTGTTGGGATCAATTTCCGTTTTTGGTTGACTTTGATGGTTCTGAATCTACTGTCACATTTATTTTACATCAGTTTTGCACCTATAAACTGACAGCTGAGGTTGTCCTTAAAAAAAAGATGTGTTACATATTTGCTGTGTTTAAAAGATAGAGTTGCAACATAGATTTTTACGGAAAAAAATAAAAAATAAATGACGGACCAAAAATAGCAAAATATAGCTGGAAGTTCTAAGGGGTTAAACTTTCCACTAAAAATATTTGAAATAAATAAGACACTCGACGGTCAAAAATCAGTAGGATGAGTTTTTTTTTTCTTCAAAAGTTACTATTGAAGTATGTAGGGGACAAGATAAACAAATACTGCTTTGTCCACAGGGGGCGCCAAAATCGTCACAAACCAAAAGTTTCTCACAGGTGCTTCAAAAACACAGGTTCAAGTGGATTTGATAATACAGAGACTGCCATCTTTGGGCTTCACACAAACTAGATGGCCCCCCACCTTAGTAAGTCTTGGCCACCCTGGTCCAAAAAGTCTAGACACACCCCTGGCTGCTCTGCTTTGTTGTTGTCATTTGCACAAAAAATGACCCCAAAACAGTTTAGCTGTCTCTGGTATCAAACTGATGCACTGACGATCAAACCGGCTCATACCAGATGCTGGTTTTTGGCAGAACTCGAGTCCAGTGCCAACGCTGGCAACTGTAGCAAACATTTCTGAGAGTGCGTTCAAAATCCAAACAACGCTTACCCTGAGGAAGGAATCTAGGGCTCCATTAGACATGCTCTCCACGATAATCATCATGGTGTTACCTGGGAGGAGACAAAGAGAACAAAGCAGCTGAGTGTACGAGAAAAAAATCGAAATTTGGATACAATGGAGAGAGTTGCAGAAAAGGCGAGAGGTAATAGAGACAGAGGCGCACAGAGGGGGAGGGAGGGAGGGAGAATAAAGTGAGTCTAGTCCACTTGGCAGCACAGCAGGCATTGTGCAAAGCCATTCCTCACTCAGTGAACTGTGGTGAAGCCGGGAGAACCTGTGTGCTGCCCTGGCTGTCTCAGCAAGTTTAACGACCCTCAAACACTTACTCACAAACACATATACACACACTGACACAGTCCAGGTATGCACACTCTCATACACAACACACACACACATATACACACTCTAGGCCCAGGCGCAGATGGCACAGATCCAGCAGTGCTATGAAGTGCACAGAGGAGGAAAATAAGACTGCAGCAGTCAGAGGAGAGGAGAAACAAGAGAGAAAGAAGCAGGGGATTATGGGAGGTTGAGACGGAAAGATAAAGCTTCATATCTAAAAATATAAATCTGGGATGACAGGCGATCTGGTCGGACAGTTTTTGGCAGGGGTAACAGAGAAATGATAGCCTGGCATTGTTAAATCCATAATTCAGGGTTTGCCAGTTTTACAGGGTGCTTAGGAAGCGATTTGGAAAGGTGACCAACAACACTCGGGAACTGTTAGTCAGCATGGAGACGCTGCAGTAAAACGCATGCCATCATGTAATTAATGCGAGTTGAATAGTAGAGTGAGTCGGTGGTTTAACTGTGCGTTGGATGGATTCACGGGGCTGGGACGGCGTTTAGCTACACACAAAGAGTTTAGTGAAGAGAGATTATAAATTGGCTGAATTTCTCTGTATTGTCATGGAGGGAAAGCAGAGAGGAATCCAAATCAAATACAGGCTCGGGGACCAACATTTGGCATGTGAATTAGAGGACACAGAAAACATGGCTGCGACTACAAAACAGAACATGTAGTCGCTGTTACGACAAGGAAGGCAGAGAGAGAAATGCTCGTCCTTCCGCACTGTTAAACCTTTGATACGATAAGAAACATTTACTTTGACTGGTTCGATTCTGTTATTTCAGATCTCCGAGGGAGTAATGATTTCTCATAAAAACCCTTCAGAGTTTTTCCTGCTGGTAAAGGAACTACACACCCAAACACACAAGCAAAGTGTGGTTAGACGGCCAACTCTACCCCTGAGCCACAGCTCCCCCTTGACGTTTACTTTCCCCAATCACAGTAGTGTTGTGTCGTTTGTGAACGATTCTTTCAAAAGAACCGAATCTTTTAAGTGAACGTACAGAACCAAATCATTTCCTCAAGTGATTCGTTCGTTTCTCACTTCAGTTGAACTGTCTGCAGTGCAGCTGCTACAGCACGCAGCACTGCCAAGCTAACAGCTGACGAGCGAGGGACCACGCACTCCGACGCCTGAATCACTTACTGGCAATTTCCACCGCAACCAGAACGGCTACTAAAAGGCCGTATCCACCGATCGTAGCTGATCGTAAACATTCAAGGTAATGTGTCAAGGATCGCCGGACTCCACAGCTGATCGCAAGAGTTCTATTTTTTTCAACTTGTTATCACGCGATTGCACGTGAATTTGCGAGTTCATGTCAGTTCTCACGATTCGTTCCAGATCTGAGCCGTTCTGGATGCGGTGGAAATCACTGGTTAGTGGATGAATCACGCAGTGAACAACACTCTCTGGAATAATTTTTGTCTGGGTTATAGACTTTCATGGCGACCGTTGTTCCCTGTTGTTTTAATAGCAGGAACTGGAAGAGAGTGAGACCCACCAGCTGTAGCAAGCTCTTGACAGGAGTGACGGAGGGAGATAGGGATGTGTTGTGTTCAAGTGTACCTCAAACAAAATTACCTTCTTTTTCTTTTTTAACTCTGCTAAATGGCCACCACAACAACAGCGGTGGAGTACAGTAGGACACAGGATCCTATCATTGCGGCAATCTGCGAGGGAACGGTGCATGTTCAGTCTGAATTCTTCACGAATTGTACTGTTGGGTAAACATTCAGTGAACGAATAACTCACTGAACCCGATTTACTGAGTAGACCAGATAGATAGCATACGATTGGACAGTACACTTTAAACATCATGATCTAAAAACAAGTTCATTTTGTCAAAGCAACACAGACAAACACCCTTGTCTCCCGGTCCCAGAAGCTACGATCTCAACTGAATCCTGAACCGTGTATCAGTTCAGGAAGTCGGAGTCGCAGGCTCCTCCCACTAAGCACTAAATGATTTGGTGATTTAGTGAAAATCATAGGACCTTAACAGAGTCAGTATTTTTAATTTTGCCAAATTCTTGATTCTGATTGGCTGGACGGTGTGCATTACGTATTGATATTGTTTAGGTGAGTGTTTGTTATCGTATTAAAAAAATGATGCTCTGGTTTTGGGACTCTATTTTATCTGGAACTGCAAATGTTGAGCAAACGGGGCGTCAGAAGAAATGATAATATTTGTGCAGAATGAGGAGGTCATTTACATGGATGTGGCTCACTTGCGTTGTCGTGTGGCTTTGAATGATAGTGGAAGGATTGGAGGATTAGCTAGGAGGAGGGTGCTGTTTGCAGGTGGTGTACGGGAAAAAGACTGGAGAGGATCTGATGGGGGTAAATGATGTAAAGCAGGTGATTTGCAGTCGTAACCATCTCCAAGTGTGTGTTTGTGTGTTTGTGTGTGTGCCCGACTTGTGATTTCACGCCAAGTGAGAAGCAGAGCAAGCAGGTGTGTGTGTGTGTGTGCGGTGTCTCAATGAAAGTAACAGAGTGAGCGGGGCATATGTGTGCGCACGTGAGCTTTGTTTGTGCATGTGTGCGTTTGTGTGTTTGTGCACATGATGGTGGGAGAGATTGGAGTGGATCTCGGGGCCCCGCTGGGTCTCTAGCACCAATTACTGTACCCTGCACATCTGCTGCCATCCTACTGAGCGCAGAGTGTGTTCGGGCACCGCGCCCGCACACACACACACACACACAGCCACGCTCACACACACACATCATACCGAGCATCACTGCGGCAGTAACAAAAACTTCACAAACTCTTTAAAGCTTCTCCCTTCACCTGCCATTCCCATTAACCTCTACCTCATCTTCTCTGTCTCTCATGTCTCTCTCCTCCGTCTCCTCCCTTCGACTTCTCCTCCCTCCCCCCTCTTCTCATCCTGTTTTCGCTCTAGGACCTCAATTGCTATCTGTCAGCGGAAAATGGGCCTTGATGTAGCTCGGCTGCTGCCGGCGTACGGCATCCATGCCACCGCGCTTCTCTCCTCAACTTTCTCTTCTTTTCCCTCCTCTCGTCACGCCCCCTCTTCGCTGTGAGCTTTGACCCCCTCCTTTTGTGCGATATTGAAGTGGTTGGAGTATCGCGCTGTTCTCCCTAATTCTCTCGTCTCCTTTTCTTCTCTTCTTCTTCTGCTTTTCTTCCAGTCTCTCCATTGTTACCAAACACAATGACCCCCTCCACACGTGTGATATTAAAATGTTCCTTTTTCATTTTTATTCACTCTAATCCCTCATCCTTTTCTCCTGTTATTTCTATTCACAGACTCTACCTAAAATCACAGAATCTGGTTTTCAAATGAGGCGTGTTTTGGTCTCATTTTTTTGTATGTTTGCAGCCAATTTCCAATCATGTATCAGCGAGCGTCCAGGAAAAAAACAGTCAGTGAGTCCGAGGATGGCAAAAGTAGGCGGAAAGCAATCAGCCTTAATGACATCCAGGCTCTGTCAGTGGTAATCAAATGACTTTTTATTCATTCTTATAAACAGATATCTGCATGCAAGTGCAGCCAACAATCCGTCCTACATAATAAGTTTTAATTTCAGCAAATGTACGAGACTCTTCTACTACCTCTTCTGGACCACATCAGACATGGACCAATGACTGGACTTCACTACAAGTTCCTTTAGTCTATACTGAGCTTGAGAAATCAGCTTTAAGATTTGGTGCATGATCTACTTGTAATTCTCAGGGAACTCCTGACTGAACTACTCTCAGTAAATCACAGGTAAATAGTTTTCTCTTTTGGATTCGGCATCTGTGTAACTCACTATTTACAGTGAAACTGAGACCCAACACAAATAGACAAAGAGGCACTCCTCCAGAAGATATCATAAACTAGAACCAGAACCTGCGCCCAACCAAGAACTAGCAAAGTCTTGTCTCTCTTAATTTTTGCTCTATTTTTTCGTGTTTTTGTCGTGTTTTATCAATTGCTGAGAGAGGATAGGAGTTTCTAGGCAATGGCATACGATTTCAGGCCGACATCTAGAGGTGTTTTCTGAGGTTGTTGTGCTGGTGTGGAGGTGAAGGCAAAGTTGAAAGCTAGGAAATGGAGATATAAGCTCTTTGTTCCATCAGTCATCATGGGAAACGTCAACTCTCTGCCTAACAAAAGCGACGAGCTAGAGATATTGGTGAAGACTGAGAACTCATACTGTGAGAGCAGTGTGGATCTACCTGGCTTCTCTCTTGTAAGGTCAGATGAGGATGCTAACGCTAGTGGCAAGAAGGAAAGAGGAGGTCTGACTTTATTTGTCGACCAGAGATGGTGTAACTCTTCACACATAAGAAGACGTTGAGCTGTCCAGATATTGAACTGTTGGCAGTTGCTCTTCATCCATATTTCGTTCCAAGGGAGTTCAGTCATACCATAACAATACTTCTATACGTCCCACACCAGGCAACGGCTGAAGTTCCATGTGATTTTCTCCATGATACAGTTGCTAGGACACAGATTTAACATTCTGAGGCACTTGTAATAATATCAAGAGACTTCATCCGTGTCGCCCTGGATGGCTTCTCTTTCTTCGTTGCAGATGGAGAGATTCAGATGATCTTTTCCAGACAAACCAATTTCCTTTTGGGAATCATTTAAGTTCTTGTTCTGTATGAAAAGGTCACAGGGTTACTTATTGAGCTAAATAGCGGTCTAAGTTGGAAGAGGGCTATTACGCCTGATAAGTTGGCCATCAGTCCCAGATTTGTGAGTTCTCTTCAAGCATGTAGCTTCCATTGTAAAAGCAGTCATGAACTTTCATACTGCCCCCTCTGTCTTTGATCCTTGGATACTGTGTTTGCTTCCCATCCTATATTTCTTTTATCTTCCCCCTTGCTCTCCTTTGTTTTCTATTCTTTTCCCAGTGGTATTCCCATCCTCCCAATCTGCCATCCATCTATTCCTTTCTGCTTCATCTCCCTCTCATCTTCCTTACCCGTGGTGATCACTCCCTCCAGTCTTATGATGTTGGAGTGGTCGAACTGCCCCAGGATGCCGGCCTCGCTGAGAAACGAGCGCCGCTGTTTGTCCGAGCAGCCGGCCCTTAACGTCTTTATAGCCACCGGTAGTTCTCTCTTACTGGGTAGCTTCAAGCAGCCACGACACACCTCCCCGAAGTCACCTGTTGGGGGGGTACAAAGAAGCAGAGGTCACGAACTCAAATGATAGAAGAACAACCGGAGGGAGCAGAGGAGAAATAGGGCAGGCCAGAGTGATGATACAGAGAGCGAAGATGAAATTGGAGTGCGGGGGACTCGGGGAGAAGAGGGGCAAGAGGTTGGAGGAGAATCAGATGGAGAAATACAAACATATTGGGGAGGAAGAGAGATGACGCAAATGAACCGACAGTGTTGAGAGACACGAAATACAAAGGGATCAAAGGGAGATCAAAGATGGGGTGGAGTGCAGGTGAAACAGGGGAACATCGAGTACAGACAAGGCGAACACAACAGCGTGAACGCCGGGGCTCCATTTTAGCACAGATCAGTCTGATTGAGCTGCTTTCTCCAATTTGTCTCAAAGCACGTCGAAGGAAAGTGCAAAAACAGATATTAAGTTACTGCAAGATTTCAGCGACTTGTAAAGATTCTGACTCTGTCTGCTGCTTCGGCCCAAACTGTGATTTCATATTTCATAACAGGCATGGTGGAGGAGTTAAGAACTATTTGCTCCTGTTACCAATTCTTAAAAAGGAGTTTCATCATTTCTACTGTGCCATACTCTCCATTCTTATTACATTTTTTCTACTCTACTCCGCTCTGACAGTTTACCAGATCAAGTCAATTTAATCATTGCGCCTAGTTCAGCGTGTACTTCTCAGCATGTAAAAAAAAGTGTTTAGTTTAAAAGCTTTTATGTTTCTAAAGTAAAACCATGTGGTGTTGGGATGATCAGAAAAAAAGTTTCTGAACGAGAGTGTTTACATGTAAACAACGCCGGTGATGTTTTGAACTTTTGAAACGCTGAGTGAGAGAAACAGTGTCCACTCTGCTCTGCATTTTAATGATTTCAGAAAAAAGAAAGTTTCTGATTTGGCTTTAAGACTTTCTCAAGTTGGAAAAACACTTCAGGGAATCTCAGAAAGGTTGGTACCAAGACTTGAAACACATCAAACAAAAGTAGGTGCTGGTCTGATGGTCGAAAACTCTATAAATTTAAAATAAAGCAGATGAGCTTTTGGCTTATTTTTAATACTCAGAAGGTTAGAGGGTGTGATTGAGGATCAGGGCCATATAGAAGAAAATAAGATTTTGAGAATAAAGTTGTGAGTGTTATGAAATTAGGTTGTTATACTCCAAGGCTTGAGTTGTAACGCTACAAGAATTAAGTCCTTTTGTTTTGAGAACTAAGGCTTCATGTCACAACAAAAAAGCATTTTATCAATTGATGATTAGTGTATAAGTTTCTGCTGTTGTGAAAGGAAGAACAGCCATTTACCACCTTAAAAATAAGGTAGATGGTGCATCATAAGCTCTACTTAATATAATAATAATACAACACAAACTGAACTTGATGATCTAGGATCCTCACCCGAACCCTTGAAAACCAGATCAAACCTTAACCAAAACTACGGCTTCTTAAAGACTATATTCTTGTAACATAATGACTTCATTCTGATGACTCTGTACTTGTGTTGTTGTGACTGATTTTCTTACAACTTTACTCTCATGCAATAAACACTATTACTCTTAGATATCTATGTTGGTTCAACGTCTCTGTTTAGACCAGGTGTTTCTGTAAAATCAGCTGATACCACAGGATTCATCACACATTCAGACATGTATTAAATGGGATTTTAAAGTTGCATCTGAATGTGTTGCATAGATAATAATGCAACACAATCATCTATAAAAAAAATGAAGAGGGCGGCAGGTTACAAACTCCTGACCCACTGCCCCAGTAAATTCTTCTGCCTGTACGATGTAGATTAGAGTTTGTGTCACATCAAGACCGCGAGCTTTTGGAAACAGTAGCCCTTTAATTCCTGACACCACAAATTATGGCCAGAAAATTCTCTTTTTTTTGGAGCTTAAATGTTTATTTTCACTTTCTACTGAAAACCAAAAAAATCTAAATGTCTTTAAATTTTAACAAAAATATTTATTTATCTTGTTTGATACATTAGATGTTTTTGGAAACTAATAAACTACAAGAGGACATTTTTATCATTTCAGGTGTTTTTTTAGTAATTAGTTGATCATACTGATTTGATAGAAGCATATAAAAGTATGTATCAAATATAATACAAAAGGTATTGAAGGGCTAAAGCAGGAGAGACAACTTCCTAAATTTATTCAAAGGACATAAACACAGAAAATCCATGCTGGAATTCCGTTTGGAAAGCTTCACCAGCTCTGTTTCATTCCTGTGTATCATCACTTACCTGTGTGCACAATTCTCTCTATCTTGATGCTGGAGTTGTCCAGCTCCTTGGCGAAGGCGTGCACGGCCTGCATCAGATCCTCGCAGGTCTCCGGGTCGATGTAGGTCCTCCGTGTTGGGATCTTAACTGAAAACACAAACGTAGAGGATTGTAACGTGCAAAATGTAAAATGAGAGGTGGCTTTTAGGGGCAGAAATTTCCACAGTCCATTAAAAATCAATGGGACAGCAACACAAGTAAACAAATACAAGAAGAAAGTCCACATGGGGCACAGAAGAGATAAAAGGAACCTCTCTCACATTCAGATATTATTTAACTGTATTCACCAAATAAATAAATATGGCTACCTCTGTTATGTTAGCATGGAGAGACGTCTGACCCTGGGGTTACTTCTGCCTCTCAGCACAAAGAAAAACATTCCCTACGTCGACATCT